CCTTTTTGGTGCTTCAAGCCATCCCTATATCCCCCTTTCATTTTGAAGAAATGATTTTTCCACTTGTACAAGTAACAAATGAGATTTTCGACTTGTTCGCAGAGTGGCAGTAGAAGACCCATCACTGTTTCTTCCTCTTCACATGGCTTTCGCTCTCATCCTTATTTTTACCGAGAACAGAATAGAAATAGAGTGCGAGTCATCTTGGGTCATGTCATGACACATTTCTAAAGGCATTGTTACGACTTGCTTTACTTTCCTTTCTTTCTTTGATGAAATGGGAATGTCTTTGTTGCCTACACTTTAAATGACAAAAGTGTATTTAAGAGTTCAACAACTTTCATTGCACACAAGTGTAACTATTTGCGTGTTGGCTGTTCATATTCCTGTTGGTTCACATCTTGCGGTCGGTTGCTGTACTGTAAGCATGCAGGTTATGGTGGTGGTAGGTATGCACGTTGTCGTAGGTACACAGGTAGTGCTAATATAGAGAAATTGTATTGTGTCGAGTTTTTGTAATAGATCATCAAGATGATTTCTTGCAAAATATTCAGTTTGTCTAATATCTTCGAGTTCACGGTTTCCTTTCACTAGCCAATACAGACACCGTACTTCAACTGTTTTGTTGACACTTGGTGTGGCAGACTTGCGGTGATCGTCAAGACCTTTGACGAATGTCTCTAGAAGTGAAGTATCACCCTCTTGGAGATCAACACACAAATTTAGCTTGACCGAGGAATATGCGAGACTATATGAAAGGGCATAACAATTATATGGTGTTAGCTTTGAATAAATGCGAAGCGTTCTTCTTGATTGAGTGTTACTCTTGAAATCAGTGGGATAGGATGGGAAGTAGTGGGATAAAATAGTGGGGTTTTGAGCCTCATAGAGAGAGCAGAATAAAACACTGGAATCCTCAATATGTGCGGTGTCATGACTGAGATATGATTCCCAGTGGTGGCTGTCACCAGCTGACTTGCTTTTCCAGCCAGTGATACCAGCGAGGAATATGGCTGGCTCCACTAGTGATGATTTCTGTTGCTCTAGTGATGATATGAGAGCCTCTTCATGTTTGTTACTACCCTTGTATGGGGAACGAGCCCATTCATCTACAACCAGCCTATGGTAAGCTACCTGAAACTCAATGCTGAAGGTATCAGCAAGGTGCCAAGCTGGCAGGTATTCCTGTAGGCTGAGGTGGAGAAATGACAACGTTCGCTCGACTCCTTTGCCAGCATACATTTCAGTAGATTCATTCATGAACCCAAAACTAACAAATCCCTCAGGGATGTCCTCTTTGAAAAATGTCACCTGCTTCAATCCTCCTTGGTGATAGGTAAGAAAAGCAAATCTAGTCAAAACCTCAAATTTACTTTTTTCCTCTTTGTTTAAGCCCTCAGGAAGCATAGATGTATACTCATGATTGGGTTCCTTCATCCTCATGTGTCTAACAAGGAGAGAATGAGTGAGTGCCTTGTACAGCTGTGTTCTTGTTCTTGGTATAGCGAGGTGGCGGCTACTCTGAGACTCGTAATAGACTTGTGCTACAATGGCACAGTTTAGTGGAATGTACATCATTGACTTTATGTGAGGGACAAGAAACATGTACTTCAAGAAATTTGCCTGAAGCTCTGGTTTATTGCTAAAGACCTCAGTGATATACCTTACTCTCTCTCCCTCGGTAAATCCTATTATTTCTACATGCTTATCAACTTGAGGCTGGCAAATACTTCTGAGTGCTGATTTGGCCACTGGTCTAGTAGTGAGAATGATGGTACATTCTGGCAAAAGCTGCCTGCATAGAATGCTCTTTATGACAGAGTCCTCATGAAAACTGTGAGAGACTTCGTCAAAACCATCTAAAACTAGTAACAGGTTGCGACCATTGTAATCATGCAGTTCTTGAGCAATATAGTTACTTAAACTGGGTTGAACTGGGTATCTAAAAAGATCAGAAAGCGATGTGGCATTTAATACCCACTTTTCCCTCAACTTTAGCAGCAAAACAGTGTGGTATTGTCTGAAGTTTTCTATCTCGTCCCATCTCCTACATGCCTCCCAGGCCAAGGTACTCTTACCGATTCCTGGAGGACCTTCTACCAGAATGAAAGCACCTAGCCTCGCCGACAGGACAGGCATAATATCTCTTTGAAACATGCCGGGTTTTGGGATCAGAGCTTTTAAATATGTCTCTATTAACAGATAGTTGTCTTTCCAGTCAGGAGTCAGCAAGTCTTCAATTTCAATAGGTACTTTGCTTTGAAGAATCTGGTCTACTCCTCCATGCAATGTTCTCCTGGTAAACTCATCTCTTAGCTCAGTATCGTAGTCACCCCTCATAATCATGGCTAGATTAATGTAGGGGGCATCTAGGGTGGGAAGGTACTTGTCTGCTGGAGCTATGGCTCTAGCATTGTAAATAGACTGCAAGTAGCTCTTATACTTTGCCAACACTTGGCTTAAACCTGACTGTGGTACAGACTGACGTGATGGTGATATTATACCGCCTATCAGTGGGGGAGAAATCTCTGGTTCAATTTTCCCACCTGTGCTTGCCATTTTTTCTTGTCTGTCCCTTGTTCTTCCTGTGGGGATGAGAACCAATTACTTTTTCATGGTTTGCTATGATTTCTGTGAGTATACCTCTAACATGCGTAGTTGGAGCCATAGTGTCACAAGGACGTGGTACATTAGGGAATCTTGCATTGGTTCTGTCAGGATACCTTATACCTGTAAGAATGAGAGTCTACATTGTGTACTAATGAGCAATCTGAGGTTACTTACCTGTTTCTCTCAAAATTTCCTTGCCTACTGTCTGAAGGCCTTCATCCTCCAGTAGTACTTCAATGAACACAAAAAGAAGTTCAGGTTTTGACTTTATTGTCTCATCGACTGCATCAACTAAACTAATAGTCTTTGCCTGCTGAGATTCAGGAGACATTATCATGTCTTTCATTACTGCCTTCGATATCAGATCTTTCATCTGAAGTTCAGCTGCAATTTTCACTGGATTGGATATTTCATAACATAGTCGGCCAAAGAAGTGCTCAAAAATATTGTGTTCGCCACTTTCGTTAAATTTTGAAGAACCGCAGGTTTCAGCTTTATCTGGGTCTGCACTCGACAAACCTTTTGAAGATTTCTCTGTTTCTTGCTCTGCCATTGTTTCACTGTTATTTTCACCCTGTACCCTTAATGGGTTTGTGTGGCTTTTTGTTTCACTTACCTCACCCGTTACATTATCCGTTCGTTCGTCACTTACTTTTGTACAAAAATCATGGCTTCTTGCAACTCTCTTATTCTTCTCTGTTGCTCCATGCTGTTGGTCTGAGGTAGCCTGAAGGCTGGGATCAAGCCTATAGTACAGGTGGCCATACCCTTCCATTATTCTATTAGCTTGCTCATGCTCACCTAAAGCTTTTGACCTGAGTGCTGTTTCAATATCTCCCCATGTGAGGGCTGGACTCTGCTTTAAACGAACTGATAAAACATGAAGCAGGATTTTTTTGGGATCAGTACTACACTGCATCTCGATATTTGCAATTTCATTCATCTTTAGACCAATTTGTATGCCAAAAAATAGGTATTTTGCGGCGATTGGACAAACGGCTTCATATACGACCTTTACATCATCGCCGCCTAATTCGTGAAAGTGATGGTCGACCGACGCCATGCTGCTGCACGGGCTCACTCTTCCTGTGGCCATCGCTGAAGCCGCACTCTAGCTCAAGTATTCTCCGCCGATTTCCAATACGACGTCGAGTGCATGCGCACCGCTGTAAGTACTACTAACACTCTACTGCATATATAGGAGAAACACAGAGAGATAGCAATGAGTTTGCTCACGTTTTATCGCCGGGGGACGGTGTAGGGACAGGTTCGGTTGCAACTCCCTCTTTGTTTATCTCGTTTTGTGCTGCACTCAGCATTTGGGCGTGTGGAGTATATTCTGCGCATGCGTATATGCTTCCGACATAAAACTGTTAGCGTAATAGACATAATGATAACAATGCCAACAAAACTTCTAGCTACCTAGGTATGCTGTCTTTCATCACCTTGGTTTCGTTTAATTATCTTTCTTCTCAGGTAGATAAGAGTTGCTGCTGGGATCATCACTGCGCTCCCCTTCCATCATTGTGGTCTCTCACTAGAGGAAGGTTCCTTCAGTGGATGGTTCCTCTCCCTTTACTTCAGGGAAATTGTTAGGGACATTAATTAATACTCTTGCAAGAGAAATCCTGGCTCCTTCTCATACTATGGTACTGCAATGTATGGATCACTGTTCAGAAAATTGGGTGGAAATTGTTTCGTAGCTGGTCGCTGGTTGGTTGCTGGTAGACGAGAGATATTTGCATGACACACTCGCAATTACTAGATGTTAAAAGTGACAACCACAATTGAGCATTTAGTGATTCCAATCTGCCACAAGCAGTTGCCACCTTCACAATTCAGTCGATAATTATTAGACCATGTGATATTCAAAAACCCATAAATATCATACATGGATTGGTCCTTAAAGTTGATTTTTTGGGGTATTAATTGCTCATGCGCGATCCACGCGGAGTATGCAGAATAAAACACAATACTGAGCACTTCTCTGACAGTTGACCGTCCGGCTGGGCTGCACTCAGTAGCTGATCCCACGCGGGTCAGAGAGCCATCCGACCAGAGCGACGCAAGTAGTAAGTGTCATCAGCGGAATACTAGAGCTGTTTTAGATGTGTCTTGCAAACCAGGAAAGCAGCTCTGTGCATCGCGACGACACGCTGCACGCCGATGTTGTTGGAGTGGGCCTGGACGCACGATGGTACGAGGGAGCTGCTCAACGAAGTAAGTCACTGCTGTATTTCGCAGTGAGCTATTGGGACTCATCTCCTTGCAGCTGGAGTAACCTCATAAGTGAAAGTGACCAGAAAAAAAGATTTACCGAAGCCTACACTGTATCGAAGAAATTGGAAATAAAAATGTAGAAAAGGTTCAACCTCACTGAGCCTTACAGTACTGTACTGAGTGACCAAGAAAAAAAGATTTACCGAAGCCTACACTGTATCGAAGAAATTGGAAATAGGAAATAAAAATGTGGAAAAGGTTCGACCTCACTGAGCCTTACAGTACTGTACTGAAGTAGTTAAGGACTTATGGTTGGAATTTCCTAAGAGTTTTTGCTGCCTTGTTGTTTGTGGGTGCAGTGTTGTCTAGTCATTACTTATTAATAAAGTGTTTCCCAATCAGTAAGTTGGCCAATTTGCTGTGTAGCCAAGGCCTCTTTCTTGATATTTGCATATCTGTGCTCGACCTCCGAGATGAAGCAAGGTGCAAAATGATGCAGGTCTCCACGAACTGTCGATCTGCTGGAGAAGCACTGCTCCAAGTCCGTGTGGTAGGGCGTCAGTCGAGACCTTTGTAGGAGCGGTCGTATGATGAAGGGCGAGGCCGAGAGTGGCTCCGCTCCCTTTGTTTCAGAGTCAGCAGCATTGGTGAGGGACAAACACACTTCAGCAACAGAACTCTGTGCAAAAGTAATGTGACTCAGTCCAAGTCAGTAGGTCAAACACTGGCTCTGTGTTAATAGAGCATTCCATTTCGAGGATCACTGATAAATTCTTGGTGGTTCAGCATAATAATGTTGTATTTGCCATTCCTTTCCCATTTTTCTGTAGTATGACATTTATCGTACTGTTGGCATCTTTGATACGCCCACGAATCATGCTACAAATAATTATTGTTCCTTACTCAACCACACAATTAAGATCTGTTAAAGTCTTGTAAAGAATTTCCAGTCTCAATTCTCTGGCTATTGCTGTTCTTGCTTGCCCCAAGGGGCAAACTTGCTATAGTGGATGGCAGGATACGACATCGGTTTTGCCAAATTCTCTTTCTCTTTCAGCTAGTGTATCTTAAAGTCCTGAGTGTTTTGACCTAGGTTCATGCAGTGGTCTTTCCATTCTTGTAGTTTTCACTAGTAAGTGGCAAAATATTCACCGCCTACTTTTGCTGCCTCTTTTATTAGCCATAACCTTTTTACTTCTCTGTTCCAAATTCTTACTGTTTTTTTTGACGTTTGGTTTTCCTCTGTTACATTTTGGTGCATAATAATGATATTCCACCCATCCACTTACTGCCTTCCTGCTAAGCTCCTGTTGGAGAAACGTCAATCATTAAAAACTTCGATCTTTCATAATCTTATGCTTGCTGTATCGATCATTCTTCCCCTCCCTCGTCCAAGGCAAACTTGCTGTTCATTACGAAACACCTGCCAGATTTTCCACTTGTTCATTACACTTTAGTGGCAGCAAAATCATTCTATTTCCTCCCCTGCATTTGTCATTCTTAGTTTTTGTGTTTTTCTTTCCCACTGAGAAAAGTATAGAGTATGAGCCATCCTAGGTCACATCAAAAACATGCACTAATGGTAGAATTTCTTCAGATAACACTTCTTTCTCCAAATTCTCAGGTTTGTATATTTCTGTTATTTCAGTCTTCATCTGACAACAGATTGGTACCTATTGAGTAGCACTGTTTGCATGTTGGCCGTTCCTTGCTCACAGGTTGTGGAGGATTCATCGATTAGGCAGCTATAGGGATGAAGGTGCATGGTAGACAAATAAGTTCAAATATGGATGTGTTAATTTCCTCGTTTCCTTCTTAGTCCCAGTTCTTTAATTTGTTCTTCAGTGGTGGCTGTAGGTATGGGTAGACAAGCAGGTTGTGGCAGTAGGAGGTATGCGCAAGTTGTGGTGATGAAGTAGGCATGCAGGTTGCCATACTTTGCTGTGCAGGTCGTGGCACATATACAGAGTTTGAGGATGCTATGTATGTTGTAGGCCCACAGGTTGTAGAAGTTGTTGTTGGTAAGCATGTTGTGCAAGCTGTGCAAGCAAGCTGAGGATGATCAGACAAGATCATCATTTCCCCCGGAGTAGTGTTTTCTTTGAGAATGTGGTTTATTTTCTCGAGGAATTTTGTATATTATACCAGAATTATTTCGACACTGACTGTGGTCTTTTCACTACCCACTCTGCAGCTGACATGCCGTAAAGCAGTGCTCTTTCTCTTAGTATATGTAGAGGATTCAGTTCTCTTCAGCTTGTGGATAGTGTAATATGGACACCATTCATCCATGGTCTGGGGAGAAATTTGACTTGTACGTGATCTCAGAACTGTTTTCATTATTGCTGGACATACTGAGGTAAAAATTGGGACGGAATGATGCTTCCGTACTTGTCTGTCTTTGTGACGTAGAATTCAAAGACTTTGTTCAGGAATTCATCCCAGGAATTCATCCCAGGAATTGTGACTTCCACAGGAATTTATCAGTTAAGAACACCCTTCTAAGTGCTTTGACTGTGGTGAGGTAGACCTTCCACACATGAATATCTCTTCTACTGTCAACAGACAATTAAGTAAGCTGGAAATTACCTGCAACACTATCAGATCCTCTTAGCGAAGGTGTAGACAGTTCACCTTGCTTCTTGAGCAGTGGTCACTTTGAGTATCCCAGGTTTCCAGTTCCCAGGCCACCATTACATCATACTTCAATTGCTGGCCAGCTGCGAATACTGTTGCAAGAGTTAGTCAACATGTGCAAGAATATATCATGACTCAGTCAAATGCCACGGGATCAAATGCCGAATTAATCCTTAACTGGTAACTTCTAAATGTATACCAAAAATATACTGCGATGCGGGATCAGTCAAATTGTTTTTAGAATATTGATAGTTATTTGTATATTGGCTCTTATGTTACTAATTCTCCTTTTTGATTGTGGCAGGTGTGCTGGTTGCAAACAGTGGAGTAAGTGCATTTGCAGAGAGTTTAGTAGGTTCAGACAGGATCCACAAATCTTCCAGAGTTTTGTTGTCCCTGAGAATATTGTTTAGTTCCAGAAGTACGTTGGTCATGTTAGTTGTATCCGCTGGGGAAGATCTTATTTTTTTACATACAATCTTTGACTGTGGTCTTTCCCATACCAACTCTGACTGCGGCCTTTGACGATGACCATGAATCACAAGATGTTTTAATACAGTGTTACGTCTCAGTGCACTACATATGTAGAGGATTCCATCATAGTCCAGCCTGCTTCTCTTCAGCTCTAATGTGGTAAGACTGGGACATTCTAGCAAGATGCTATGGACAACATTCATGGTCTCATGAGAAATTTGAGTCAACCCCATGTAAGTAATTACATCAGATCCTAACACCGTTTTCAAAAGCAAATTGATTGCTGTGGTGAAAGTATCAGGCATACCCGAAATGTCATAATCTATATCAAAAACACATTTTGACCAGCTGGATACTTGACTCCTTTTATTTGTGATGTGAAATCCTTTCAGTTTGTGGCCACTCAGAGACTTTAGTGCAGAAATCCATTCCCAGGATTCGATGCTTACATAAAGAAATTGTAGTTTGTCAAGTGTTAGTAAAAAATCGCTAAGATCACTGTCTGTGCATGTTTTAGACTTGAATTTAATTTCCTCGAGTTCAGCCCAACACTTTGCTTTCATTATCCAATAAAGACACTGATCTGAATTCTTCATTAACCTTACTTGGAGTGTTTTTACTCTTGGTTTGGTAGACTGGAAGTGATCGTCAAGACCTTTGACAAATGTTTCTAGAAGTAAAATATCATCTTCTTCTCTGATGTCAACATACAAAGCAAGCTGGACTGAGGAATGTGGCAGGCAGTACGAAAGAGCATAACAATCATATGGTGTTGACCGCGAATCAAGGTGAAAAACTTTTATTAATTGACTACTTCGTTTAGCATCAAAGTAGTATGATAAAATGGTTTGGTTTTGAGCCTCATAGAGGGACCGCAACAACAAAACACTGAGATCTCTAAAATCAGTGCCATTAGTGAAATATGATTCCCAGCGGTGACTGCCATCTTGTGATTGGCATCTCAGGCCAGTGATACCAGCGAGGAATATGGCTGGCTCCACTAGTGATGATCTCTGTTGCTCTAGTGATGATATGAGTGCTTTCTCCTCTTTTTTAATACCTATGTATTGAAAATTGGCTCCTCTACCTACAGCAAGCCTATGATAAGCCACCTGAAACTCAGTGCTGAAGCGCTTTGCTAGGTGCCAAGCTGCCAGGTATTCCTGTAGGCTGAGGTGGAGAAATGACAAGGCTCGCTCCACTCCTTTGCCAGCATACATTTCAGTAGATTCATTCATGAACCCTAAATTAACTAATTCCTTAGGGATATCCTCTTTAAAAAATGTTACCTTTCTTGAACCACCTTGGTGATAGTTAACAAACGCAAACTGAGCCAAAACCCTGAACTTATTTTTATCTTTTTTGTTAAGACCTTCAGGAAGCATAGATGTACACTCATGATTGGGTTCCTTCATCCTCATGTGTCTAACAAGGAGAGAATGAGTGAGTGCCTGGTACAGCTGTGTTATTGTTCTTGGTATAGCGAGGTGGCGGCTACTCTGAGACTCGTAATAGACTTGTGCTATAATGGCACAGTTGAGTGGAATGTACATCATTGACTTTATGTGAGGGACAAGAAACATGTACTTCAAGAAATTTACCTGAAGTTCTGGTTCATTGCTAAAGACCTTAGTGATATACCTCACTCTCTCTCCCTCGGTGAACCCAATGATTTCTACATGTTTATCAACCTTAGGCTGGCAGATAATTCTGAGTGAAGACTTGGCTACTGGTCTAGTAGTGAGAATGATGGTACATTTGGGTAAGAGCTGCCTGCATAGAATGCTTTTAATAACAGAGTCCTGATGGAAACTGTGAGAAACTTCGTCAAAACCATCTAAAACCAGTAACAGGTTGCGACCATAGGAATCGTGCAGTTCTTGTGCAATGTCTTTACTGAAACAAGGCTGAACTGGGTATCTGAAAAGATCAGAAAGGGATGTGGCATTTAAAACCCACTTTTCCCTCAACTTGAGTAGCACCACAGTGTGGTAGCCTCTAAGGCTTTCTATATCATCCCATCTCCTACACACCTCCCAGGCAAAGGTACTCTTGCCAATTCCTGGAGGGCCCTCTACCAGAATGAACCTACCTGGCTCACCATGGTCTTCTTGAGTCAACAGGTCAGGCCTAGTTTCCTTCGAAACACTAGATTTTTGGATCAGTGCTTTTAAAAAAGGAAGAATCAACAAATAGTTGTCTTTCCAGTCAATCATCAACAATTCTTCGATGTTTACAGGCTTTTTGCTCCAGAGGATCATTTTCCTGATTATTGCTGCAAGAACCCAATCACTAGAATCACTGCTAGCATTGGGAATATCAATTTTTTCTGGAATAATCACGACAGGCATGCCTCCAGACTTGCTGAATTCTTGGATCAAGGCTTTTAAATACGGCAATATAAACAAATAGTCATCTTTCCATTCAAATGTCAGCAAGTCTTCAATTTCAATAGGTACCTTACTCTGAAGAATCTGGTCTACTCCTCCATGCAATGTTCTCCTGGTAAACTCATCTCTTTGCTCAGTATCGTAGCGTCCCCTTATAATCATGGCAAGATTAATGTAGGGGGCATCTAGGGTGGGAATGTATTTGTCTGCTGGAGCTAGGGCTCTAGCATTGTAAATAGACTGCAAGTAGCTCTTATAATTTGCCAACATTGGACTTAAACCTGATTGTGGTGCAGACTGACTTGATGGTGATATACCATCACCTAACAGTGGTGAAGGAATCCCAAGTTGTGGAACAGTATTCCCAGCTGTGGTTGGCATTGTTTCTTTGGTGCCTCTTCCTGTGTAATGAGAAATCTCTAAATTTGTATGGTTACTACAGCTCTCTAATTAACCCTCGGCGCGCATGCTCAGCGAGGGTTACAGTACTTGTTCTGTCCGTCCGTCTGTCCGTCCGTCCACGTTTTCTGCCACCACGCGCGACAAACAGGTAAAATAGCGACACCAACGGGTTCAGCGGTATACCCGCTTCATTTTTAAAATGCCGATTTTTGTAAAAGTGCCGCGTTCAGAAATTATGGCATGAAAACCAAGTGAACAAGCCAATATGCAAATTAGCACAGGCTTACCTCGACCGGGTCCGCTTGCTCTGTGTACCTTGGAGGCACAAGAAGTCACAACGAAGGGCGTTTATCGACTCCGGCATGCTATCTACTACTGTAGCTAGCCCGTGTCAGACACTTCGCGAGCTACTCCGCGAGTAACCGCATACTACAAATAGAGCCCAGCCCATCAATTAGCGGTACCGCGCATGCGCAGTTCGCCGAGGGTTTGCACTTTAGTGCTTTTCATTTTATTATACCTGTGCCATCTGTAGTTGGAAGGGGAATGTTGGGTAATCTCGCATGGGTTCTGTCAGGATGAAGTATACCTGTAAGGATAAGAGTCTATATCACACTGACAGTGTCCATACTGTTAGGAAGTCCTTTGGGTGCTCATGTTTAACCCTCGGCGCACATGCGCAGCGAGGGTTACAGTATTTGGTTAGTAAGTGTGTGTGTCTGACTGTCCACTCGTCTGAGTGTTATGGCGCCACGAGGGCAAATGTTGAGTCTTGCGATGCCTAAAACGATACCTACTTCTAGCCCCTGCAAAAAGCTAGCAAAAGACGGTCAACACGAGATAACGTGGTAAATCAGCGTAGCCCAGACCATCAATGATTGACCTGTGCATGTGTACGGGTGCAATGCATATACTCGCACGTCTCCGCCGAGGGTTTGCACTTTAGTTCTTTAATTGGTGGGCTGGGCTATTAGTATGCGTTTACTTATGGTATTCCGCTAGTAGCTTGAGGAGAGTCTGACACGGGCTAGCTACAGTAGTAGATAGCATGTGGGAGTCGATACATGCCCTTAGTTGTGACTTCTTGTGCCTCAAGATACACAGAGCCAATGGACCCGGTCGAGATAAGCTCATGCTAATTAGCAATTGGCTTGTTCACTTGGTTTTCACGCCATAATTTTAAAACGCGGTACTTTTACGAAATCGCCATTGTTTCCTGCAGCATTATAACAACCGGGCGCTCCGTCCGGATTGAAAAATCCCAAAAATGGGCGTGTACAATTTATGCGTAAAATGCAACTAGCGAGTTACACTGTGAGCAGTAATGCACTGCTTATAGAGTAGCACTTTAGGCCAGTAGGGGATTTCCCAGCAGGAAGTGCTTTGAAACGTGAGTAGCAAGTAATGTCAGAAAGCTGAGGTAATTAATAATTCATAAGCACCCTGTTTGAATATTACCCTGCGGGAAACACTGAATCACATATTTAAAATGAAGCCAGTGTACCGCTGAAGGCCGGTTCGTTGCATGTGGTGGCTGAAAACATGGTAACAGACACACAGACCATGCTGTAACCCTCGCTGCGCATGCGCGCCGAGGGTTAATTATACATCCACACTTCTATATAGGGTGCTTGCTTAGGGATAGTCTCGCATAGTCAGACTCTTACTCGCGGGGAGAAAGTCTGGTCCACTGACGTAGAGAATTTTGTTTAGCGCACTAAAATACAGATGTTGGGTATGGTTACTAGTACACACCTTGCTTCGCACACCTGGTAAATACTGTGCACACGCAATTGCCATTGAATAGAAGTGGAGCCCCAAACAAAATGGTCAATGTCAGTGGATGGGACAGTCTCCCTACGCGAGACTAGGTAGCAGTATTTGTTGAGTTGCTAAAACTATTGCATAACTACTAACTGAGCACCCAAAAGTTAATCCCAATCACCCTGAAATCTGAAAGGGTTGCACTCATGATTATTCACCTGTTTCTCTCGACATTTCTCTGCCTACTCTTTGAAGGTCTTCATCCTCCAGTAGTACTTCAATGAACACAAAAAGAAGGTCAGGTTTTGACTTTATTGTCTCATCGACTGCATCAACTAAACTAATAGTCTTTGCTTGTTGAGATTCGGGAGACATTAGCATGTCTTTTATTACTGTCTTGGATATAAGACCTTTCTTCTGAAGCTGAGCTGCAGTTTTCACTGGATTGGATACTTCATAACAGAGTTGGCCAAAGAACCGCTCAAAAATATTGTGTTCACCACTTTCCTTAAATTTTGAAGAACCGCAGGTGTCAGCTTTATCTGGGTCTACATTTGACAAACCTTCTGAAGATTTCTCTGTTTCTTGTTCAGCCATTTTTTCACTATCATTTTCACCCTGTACCCTTAATGGGTTCGTGTGGCTTTCTGTTTCACTTACCTCACCCGTTACACTCTCCGTCTGTTCGTCACTTACTTTTGTACAAAAATCATGGCTTCTTGCAACTCTTTTCTTCTCTGTTGCTCCATGCTGTTGGTCTGAGGTAACCTGAAGGCTGGGATCAAGCCTATAGTACAGGTGGCCATACTCTCTCTTTACTCTATTAGCTTGCTCATGCTCACCTAAAGCTTCTGACCTGAGTGCTGTTTCAATATCTCCCCATGTGAGGGCTGGACTCTGCTTTAAACGAAGTGATAAAACATGAAGCAGGCATTCTTTAGGATCAGTACCACACTGCATCTTGATACTTCTAATTTCATTCATCTCTAAGTCAATTTGTATGCCAAGAAATACATATTTTGCGGCAATGGGATGAAGAGCTTGATACACTACCTTCAAATCCTTCTCACCCAATTTGCGAAAGCCTTGGTCGAACAACGCTGTGCTACTGCACTCGCTCCCACACGCCATCTCTCTCGCTCGACCACGCCCTTTCCAGCCTGTGCGCGCGCCACAGCTTACTAACACTCCACAATGAAACAAACACAAAGAGGTAGCAAGGGTCGACTATCCCTCACACTTTCATCGGCGGGAAAAGCCTTGCGATCGATCTCTCTCTGTCTTTCTCTGGTCTTCAGTCTTGTCTCGATCCTGGCTGCTTTGGTGTGCTGCGCTCAGCATTTTAGGTCGATATTCTGCGCATGCGCTAGCTATACGCACTCTGTCATCATACTCTCAGTATTTGAAATTTAAGTTCAGAGAAAAGATCAAGGGAGGTATATAAGGAACTCCTATAAAATCAAAAATAAATAATGACAGACGTAAAAGATGTTGGAACCCTACAATGTCCTGGTAAAAATTGCTGCAACCTAGTTCATGTGATCAGGCGCTGTCAGTCAGTGCCACAGTGAGTAGCCGACTAGTGCTGTCTTCAAGTGGTACCAGAGTGGCAGGGCAGGGGTGCGAAGACCAGTAGAGAAAGACCAGAGTGGTCATGTGGTGGGTCCAGGCAAAGGCCAGGACGACCATGAGATGCCACCACTGATGACTGGAACCAAGGTAGTTCAGCTTGCCTGCAACACACACACACACACACAGGCAAAGTTGGTTTTAAGGAATACTAGTACAAGGCCAACAAATGTCTCACATACCCGTGGTATGATGGTCCACGCAACATTTTGCAAGGACCCATATCATACCCATATATACATTGTGGTTGCGTGAGACTCATGTCTCACGCAACAAAGTTGCACTGTGTGTGTTGGTCGTAAGGAAGACTAAATAGCTGGAAATATTTGAAGGAGTAAAACAAACTTTACGATAACTCCGCCGGCAAACATTTCTCCACAACATTAATGAAGGGCCGAGAGCCAGAGTGGTATATCCCAAAATTAAGTTTATGTCAAATTCTCTCCTTCCAAAATGCATTTTTTAATTGTAATTTCATGTCAAGGGTGTACAAATGGCACGTTGTGGGTTACACCATTCTGGTTTCTCAGCCCTTCATTTGGTGTATATAATTATATAGCAAAATTTTTTGCTACACCTCATCCACGGATTGTTGCTTTCCACCAAAACATGAAAGTTTTTTCCCTCAAAACTTTCCCGCCATACGATGTGGAGGGAAAATAGGTATACATATCATATAGCCTGAAGCATGGTTACAACTAAGGGTCATAATAAAAATGATGTAAACAGGTCAGGGTGAAAATGAAGCTGAATTGGGAGGCATGCTGACAGTAGGTTTTGGTAAGTGCACCATCAAAACGTGTGAGTTAGGATTGGGAAGATATGTGGAAGGAAATCGGAAAGTCTAGACGACGGTGTACAGTTATGTAGAGTGACATCACGATGAGAACATGGACAAAGTTCACAAAGGAAAGGGCCTTCCTTTATATATGACCCAGGAAATGACACTATACCTGCACATATCTATGGCTCCAACACCATTACTTACCAAGACTATGCAGTAAGTACACACTGACTAACTGAAAGGCACACATACCCATAGCATCATGTGATTGTAAGTAGCATATACTGTGGAGGTGCTAGAATGTACAGTGGAACCTCTGATAAGGGACCCTCCGAGATAGGGACGACCTCTCTACAAAGGACACTTGTTTCAACCCAATGCTAATACTTTAGTGTATTATTTGACCTCCGAGATAGGGACGACCTCTCTACAAAGGACACTTGTTTAAACCCAATGCTAATACTTTAGTGTATTATTTGACCTCCGAGATAGGGACGACCTCTCTACAAAGGACACTTGTTTAAACCCAATGCTAATACTTTAGTGTATTATTTGACCTCCGAGATAGGGACGACCTCTCTACAAAGGACACTTGTTTAAACCCAATGCTAATACTTTAGTATATTATTTGACCTCCGAGATAGGGACGACCTCTCTACAAAGGACACTTGTTTAAACCCAATGCTAATACTTTACTGTATTATTTGACCTCCGAGATAGGGACGACCTCTCTACAAGGGACACTTGTTTCAACCCCATGCTAATACTTTACTGTATTATTTGACCTCAGAGATAGGGACGACCTCTCTACAAAGGACACTTGTTTCAACCCCATGCTAATACTTAGTGTATTATTTGACCTCCGAGATAGGGACGACCTCTCTACAAGGGACAAAATCGTTGGCACCATAGTGTCCCTTGTTCGGAGGTTCCACTTTATATATGCATACCAGGAAAGAACTTCTCGGGGAACTTGGAGAGGTAGAATGTCCCTCCAGCAATAGTGATGACGTACATCACCACAATCTTAGGCAGCAATATCTGAGGCGGTATACAATAGGACAACAGAGAATTTCTGCCTGATACAAAAGTAGATATAATTATTGTTGGGGCATTATTAGTACGCAGCATTAAAAGAGTCCAACCTTACAGTAGCTATGGTAATGCTAATAGGGGAGCCCTATCCTCTGTATTTACCCTGGGACATAAACTGAAAATATTACGGAGAAGGCACACACATGTAACAAAAGATCATGTGATGCCAACATGAGCAGCTTATGTATTATGTGGAAAGCGTTTGAGGAAGAAAACTTGGCATTTGCAAGCTTTTCTAGGCAAAGGTTTATGGGTAAGGTCAGTTTAGTGGGAGTCAAGCAATACATAAAAGTGGATTGCCTTAGAGTGAGTTCTCTTACCTGCACTAGAGGGTGGTTGAAACCGTTGTGACTGACGAACCAGTGTGAGACTGGGACCACACCCCCAAACATGATCAGAGTGTACAGCATGACCCGTCGGAAGTGACAGTGCTCTGACAGGAACTTTGAATGGGCCTATTAGTGTGTATGTGTGTGTGGGGAAGAAAAGTAAATGGAATGATAAAGTTACACAACACCTTTAACAGTTTGAATAAGGTTTGACTTCAGTGTAATGTGTCACTATAGACATACAGCCGTTTTTCAGGGTTTGATTTATGCCTATATATAGGCATGCTACGTATGTGGTGCAGTGATTCGTCATTCATGAAATTCACAGCAGCATCTTTTCTGAAAAATGGCTTTAAGTTACTATATACTCTGATGAGTGGAGTCTGTCCTCACCTGTGCGAATATGCTGCAGAGTGCCAGGAAACACATCAGAGTCATGTAGAGCACCTGCCAGAACTGAAACATGACATCACAGAAAAGAGGAAAAAATAATGATTTTGCAATCTACACTACGGCACAATGATAATCATTTCGTCGAGGCCAGTACCGACTGGTATATACTCGGCCCCGCAAAACATAGCATATTTCTGAGTGTCTGTGATGCTTTCTCTCTTATAGAAATGTAGTCACAGAAGGCAGAGCTTTGCAAAGAATGCCAGGGAAAACAGGAGACATACGCAAAGAAACACACCCTAATGCACCACAAAGAACGCCAGGAGAGGAGACATACGCAAAGAAACACACCCTAATGCGCCACAAAGAACGCCAGGAGAGGAGACATACGCAAAGAAACACACCCTAATGCACCACAAAGAACGCCAGGAGAGGAGACATACGCAAAGAAACACACCCTAATGCACCACAAAGAACGCCAGGAGAGGAGACATACGCAAAGAAACACACCCTAATGCACCACAAAGAACGCCAGGAGATGAGACATACGCAAAGAAACACACCCTAACACACCACAAAGAACGCCAGGAGATGAGACATACGCAAAGAAACACACCCTAACACACCACAAAGGGATCAGAACAGGAGATGGTATAAATAAAGTACCATAAACTTCTATAGGGGTAAAACCTTTTGCGATATCATAGTTTGGAAAAACTTTCACTGGTTACGTGTTCCGCTATGAAAATGCCCCTTTCACAAAAAATGTCAGTCACACGCGTCTCTTAAAACCACGATGTGTTCTAACTCTAAAGTATTGCAGCTAGTCCTCTGAATGCTGGATTTTTCCATACCTATATATGTGTGTAACGTATGACCCACTGCGTAATGTACTACATGACTCTAAATATGACGTATACAAAAATCTAAGTGCTAGCTTCGTTTGCTAAAAGTGTGTTGCATTCCTCCAGTAATGGTAATGGGTGTGTTGTGAGACCTTGTCACAGTAGAAGGCATAGTAAGAGCCAGGGAAGTAGCAGCCGCAGAACCCCAGGGAGACTCCTGCCAGGTCTAGTCCCAGCCATCGACGACTGGCCAACTCTGACTGACACATGAACATGTGGTATCCTGCACTGCACAGCATGCAGATCTGGAGGGTACGTATGTATGGAAGGGAGGGAGGGTATAATTATGGGGGGAAGAGGGTGGGAGGAGGAGGAGGAGGGGGAGGGAGGGAGGGAGGAAGGCAAAGAGAGAGAGGGAGAGAAGGATGGAATGAGGCAGGGAAGGAGGGAAGAAGGCAAAGGGAGAGAGGGAGGGAGAGAGACAAAAATAGAGATAAGGGGAAGACTAGATCTAGGTGTGGCATAGTTAGTATGGGCATAGATTGGAACATGAGATCCAGTGGCGACATGTGATACGAATATGATAGCATACCCTCTCTACACGCCCTCACACACATACACAAAAAGTTACAGCTTACACATTAACGTTAAATGTACAGCTGCAGCCTCATTAAAGTGTTGGCAGAAGAGAAGGAGAGAGAGAGAGAGAGAGAGAGAGCACACCTGAAAGCAGAGGCTGAGGATGGTGAAAGTGAAATAGTCTCCAAACTGAGCGTTGTTCTGAGGCAATAACCCGAACACGTCGTCCATGAGTAGCATGGCGAAGTAGACCAACCCCAGGAGGTGGGACCAGATGTTTATTGTCTCGTTCGACCAGATGAAGGTGCTGCAGTCAATGAGGAGGAGGGAGGAACAACGATGGTGAGTTGTGCAGAACTAATGGCAATTAAGCGGTTCAGTGGTTTAGTATAGCACGATGGTATGGTAAAGGTCATGATGCACAATCTAACTTTGTTGTGAGACAAAGTTGCATTCAAGGGACCTATATGGCTGGAATGTGAAAATACGTTTTTGAGGGTGAAAAACTTTAATTTTCACATTCCAGCCATTATAGGTCCCTTTTCCCATGCCCCCCCACATATTATTATGGGTACTACAATAGACCATGCAACAAAGTTAAAGCATTTCTATTGCGTACGACACGTTACGTGGACTGTACATTTGAAGTTGCATGCAACTTTGTCCCATGCAACAGTGTTGTATCGTCTGTCATGTACACAAATTCAGTAGGTGGGCGCAGTTACATAGGGTGGGACACTGTCGAGGAAGAATTTTGTACTGGAATATCTGCGAATTATACTTTACAGCAAAAGTAATTCAGGGGTTTGAGGGAGGATAAGTCACGAATTAGTAGCACTTTATAGAGCACACACTGTTAGGGATTTGTTGCCAAACCATACTATTAGGCAGATTAACATCCATACATCATATAGCACATGAGTGGCTCTATATATTATGACGTTGAAAGTTCTTCTGTGTTGTAAGAGTGGCATCATAAGAGAGAGAGAGAGAGAGTGAGTGAGAGAGAGAGAGAGAGAGAGTGAGAGAGAGCAGGGGGAGAGGGCAACAAGGAAACTTGTGCACATGTGGGCATGTGTGTGTGAATGATTTTCTCATTTTATGCTTGAGCGAGGCTAGAGAGTAATGTGCAAGAAGGTGGGTCCCAGGTCCACATGCATGTGTAGCGTTCCCTGTCTCGCTAGTTGGCAGCTGGCGCTTCAGTTGCCACGTTTGAGAGTTTGACAATCATCTCTTTACTGGTAGCCACTGAATACGGCTCTCAGTCTAGCACTAACACTACTCACATGTGCTGGAAGAAAGTGAAACTTGCCCATACATCAATAAAACACAAAAACAAGATGGGGGATAGTAAACACAACATCACAGAGTTCAGACAGCTATATTTACCTCTTAGCACAGAGTTCAGGGGAGAGGTGGGCTCTGTAGCCATCCGTGATGTAGGGATTTCCCTTCAGAAAAGGCGGGATCTCTCGGTACGTGTAGAGCGGAATACCGAACGGGGCTATTGTACACGGTGTACTAGTCTGGGGACAAAAGGCGTGGGAGAAAGGGAGAGAGAGGGGGTGAATATGAGGGAGGGGGAGGCGCCCTACCTCCAGGCCCGGGAGGTGGTTGTCCATCTCTCTCGGGATGGTCTGCTGACGAGGCTCCTGTCCGGAGCCAAGCAATCCTCTCTCGGCGTCTCGGTCTTCCATCTTGAGGCGAGAAAAACGTCCGCAGCGCAGCCAGAGTTAGGGGTGCAGTCACTCCTATTAGAGCGCACTGCAGACCCACCCTCATTGCAGCGTGCAAAATGTGCATAGCTCCGCATAATTAGCGGCTTGCCACTCCCCCAGCTTTTTATGTGAGTGTCCAGTCGGAAGAACCGTGCTTGCGGATCTGGTTCACTGTAGTTTGCGTGTCGTTGCAGTTTATAGGTGAGTTGACTCGTCACCCGGGCGTTGGATGTGTTCGTCGCGGTGTGCGAACAACGCTCCCCTGCCGCGTGTAGGTCAGTGTATCTCCCTCCGTTTGATCAGCTGTAGCGTTTTGTTTTGTGGCCATGCGTGTTTAGAGCATGTGTGTTGCCGTCTGAATCAGTGCCTTATCCTGGACGCTAAGTTTTCACAGTGCAGCCCGCGAGTGTTTTCACTAGCTAGCTGTGTCCACCCACCGTCGTCTCACTGCCCACGTTCCTCTGCAGCTGACGAGGGAGACAGAAGGTGACAGGGAAAGAGAGAGAGAGAGAGAGAGTGCGAGACGAAAGGCGCGCTATGGCGGGAAGAGAGGAAGGAGAGGTTTCGCCTGTGGCAATGGTATTTCCAGGTAAAGAGACTCTTGTGTGCAACTGTAGATGTGGGCACTTACAACGCTATATAATAATAGAGTAACTGACACTTTGTAAATTAGCAAACACACCAATTGGCCACGAAGTGTCCAGTATGCAGCTTTACAAAACAAACTTGACAGCTGGTTTTTCTCTGCAGTATGGGTGGCTCTTCCCTCCCCCCCCCCTCCTGTCCGCCTTACTGCATGGATCTATTGTGTCAATGTGCAGCACATATGTCACTTGGTGCTGTATGCTGTACCCCTGAAAATGGCCCCAGACAATTGCCGCATGTCAAGTGTATAATAATACTAAAAGGGCGTATGAATGAAACTGTGTGGGTGTTGTTTTAGCAAACTTATGAGTTTTTGAATCTGTAAGTTCTGAGTTTTCAAAACTTCCCTTTCACCTCCTTTTCCCCCCTTCCCTCTTCCCTCCCTCTTCCCTCCCTGTCTCTCCCTGACCATGACCCCTATTATCTCTCTTCCTTCCTCCCTTCCTCCTTCATTCCCACCCCTCCCTTGATCTTCCCCTTTAAACACACACACACACACACACACCCTAGGGAATGGAGAGACCCAGTGCAAGAGAATGAGAGATCTCCCTCATCGCTCCCACAACGAGACACTCAGATCTCACACCATGTTCTCTGTCAAACTCTCTGAAACAGGTACATACATGTACTTGCAACACATTTTTGCCACAGTGAACACGAGTGTATAATACTTGTGTTAAGTATAACGTTACAGTATGGATAGCACCTTCTACATAATGCGGCGAACATATTACTCCTTCAGTTTCAGTCTGCGTTTAATGATTACGAAGGTTCATGTTGGAAACGTTCCACGTGATTCCCTTCGTATTGCACTGTATGGCTACCCATTGTACAGTGGTCCACAGCACTTCATTAGAGGTTTATAGCATGTATGAACTTCACAGAAACTATAGAGTCTGTGCATGCATACAGAGTGCAGTTAGACCATGCAAAGGTACTCGTAGGCTGGATAAGACAGCAAAGCAATGGCATTGGACAGAGGCTATAGAGTCTGTGCATGCAGACAGGGTGCATTTGGACAATGCAGACAGGGTGCAATTGGACAATGCAAAGGCCGGATAAGACAGCAAAGCAATGGTGTGGTAGAAAGACAGTACAGCTAGAGACCTGGGCATAGTTGTATATTATCTCCAGCATGCAGTGTGTACTGTGTAGGTACCGTGTATGTTTGAATGTACAAGATTACATCCCCCACACTTCATTTAACCCCGTGGCCCATTATAAACCGCAAAAAAATGTGTTCTGAGTATTGAAGCATAACAAATTGCACGTTACAAATTGACATTCCTAAGCATACTGAGAGAATATAATATGTAGAACCCTATTAGTTGCAGAGTTCAACATGATGTATGTGTGAACAAACATGAGGTGCAACAATCTTGGCAAGTGCTTCACGCTCGTTAACAGTTGTTTGTAAGTACACACTGGATCCTCTGAACAAGGGATACTATGGCCTGATCCCGAGGTTCCACTGTAATAGGCAAAAAGAGTTCTTTAAGATTGGAACCTCGAAGGACTCAGCAATGCTGTCAACAAGCCCGCATGGAAACACACTTAAAGTGGTATAGCACGGATCCAAGTAATATTGTCAGAGTAAAAAAAACAACTGTGAGTGTAATATAATATTGTTAAAGGGGAAATGCGCCCCTAAAAGGTGTTTCATGTAAACACAACTTCACACTGCATACAATGAGAAGTGTGTGGCTGTAGTGTTGACATTTTGTCCCTGTGTTCAGTTTATATCGCGAAACTTTGGTCTCTTGAAAACCAGCCTCGTCTGAGATTTTTTGTCTGTTCCGTGCTATATGTTGAAGGGAATGTGGCAGTATAATATTATAAGGGCTACATTTAGAAACGGTTACTAAAAACGGAAAAATTAGTATTCTTGCACTTGCCCTATTGTTAAGATCTTTGGGTAAAATTTCTAAATATAAAACCCCTATGTATCGGCACATTCCTGTATGGTATATACATTATGTCCGAAATCATCACCACTCAAATCTAAACATCGTCATGAATGTATTAAAGAGCTTGTATACCTTCATTCAATCTTCTATGTACATCACAATTACGCTTGATCACTGTTTGCTCTAATTGGCAAGCAAAGTGAGCCAACCAACCCAGCTCCAGAGATTTATTGCTGGGGGACAATCAGCCTCACTGGCAACAAATTTAGATGGTCCCAATAACAGGACACCTACTGTTTGGGGGTCAAAGTGTCCCCTGGGAAATATATTCAGGGGGACAAATGAAGAGATAGAGGGACTATGTCCCCCTGGTGCACTCTGGTGCCGGTCCTGCCAACCTAGTTGCCTGGTATGTGACTATGAACACTAGCACAGCAGAGTTCACCAGTGGAAAAAAAATATTGCAAACTGGACCATGATAATCAAACTGGAGAGAAAGGGATGGATCGAGAGAGGGAGGGAGAGGGGGAGAGAAGACAGAGAGAGATTATCATAACGTAGAGACACTGACCTCACGTTCAATCACCAAATGAGCTGCCCCTTTGTTGTGAAATTGAAATTGCAGTGTGACTGTGCATTAGAATGTTGGGTATTACGTATGTGAGGTGTCTAGGGTTGCATTGTGTGCTGTTGAAATGTGAGTAATGGCTGTCTGAATGGGTGAGACTATAACAATTGACGGTTGCTAAGTCTTCTGGCTTCTCTTGTGGTTACTAGGACTGACCTTGAACACTGCAATGTCATTCTTGAGGGGCATGGATGCAATGCGTATCTGGCGAGTGGGTGCAACTTTGAACCGGCATTTTTTTAACAAACCTTAAGGCTTTGGCGGCAGACTGAAATAGAGAAAAATCACACTTTCAGATGGCTAGGTGGGCTTGCTTCGTTCGCCGATCGATCCCTTGTGATCTCTTGACTCCTGTATAGAGAAACACTGTTAAAACATTAATGCAGTTACAGTGGGGGGCCTTTAGTATGCTGTAATTGGCGAGCGAACCTAGTTATTTCAATGTGGGTATATTTGTTTTATTTATAACTATCTGTCGGGCTCTGTCACTACCGTAATGTCCCACGTGATTCTAAATACGCGCAAAACACGTGCGAAATATTTCAACTGCTCGCGCTCGCCTGCCAACAATGCGGTGCGCATTCCTCTAGTTATACAGGTTTGTAAGCTCTGCTGGTATTTGCGTCCAATTCTTTGCTAGTCATGATTGTTTGTGTCCTGTTATGTAGCACTCTTTTGTATGTCCATATTTTGTATCCTCTTTTGAGGTGCAACTAGTAGTAGTTATCACACCTTTTGGAGTGCTGTTGCTGGTTTACAAGGCCGACGTCCCGAGGGCTTGTAAACCGCAACAGCACGACAAAGGGTGTGATAATTAGTTTATTGATAGTTGCTAGGTGCTATGACGTCAATTGCCGTCGCCTACACGTGCAATTTTGTGGTTTCGCGTCTTCTGCCGTGCTTTCTCGTGTGCGGAGCTCCCACTGGCGTTTCTCCTTGCTTTGCGCTCTGTTGCAAGTCATGGCAAAGAGGTCTCGAAGCCCTCTTTCGCGTAAGTGTCGAAGGGTGAACTTCAGAAAGCGAGGCTGAGGACGATGATCAATCCCGCACGGGCAAGAAGCTGAGGTTGAGTCTGGCATTAGGGAAGTAAGTAGAGCCCATGAGTCAAGAGTACAGTGAGCGATTTGAATATTTTAGCGGTGCTAAAGTTAAGACGCTGGAAAAGAAGTTTGTTCTATGATGCACTTTAAAGTGCAGTACTTATATCGGATATAAGCACTAACCACGGTGCATATTGTCACCTTAACACCTCGTTGGTGCATTAGCTGATTTATAGTAGCACAATAAACATAGCAACCACCTAGCAACGGTCAATAAAGCATTTTATACTATCATGCTATAACAATACTGTCTCCTCCTGACCAAATACCGCATAATGAATATTGCCATCTTCCCACTGAAGCAGTTGTATATCGTGAACCCAGTATTCACTGTAGTAAGTACAGACAATGACGTTTCCATACATGCGTCGCGCACTCACTAGCCTAGACCTATCACGACGCAGCTCTCTATCCGTATCTGTTTTATCCTTTGCCATATACTATGGAGCACTGTGTGCTGGTTGCATGTATCATGAGAAAACCAGGTGACAATTCAACGATAAATCGGTTTAAAAAGCCCAATGTGCCTGGAAAAGGGTCACTGCATCACACACCATTCATTTGATCCTCCTCCCCTCTCTCTCTCTCTCTCTCTCTCTCTCTCTCTCCTTCAATCGTAATACTTCACAAAGCATTGGTCCATAATAAACTGTGGTGTATAATATCAATACGTAAGTTCTCGCAGAGGTAGACCTGCAGTGCTGACACACAAAGACGCTATTGACAGACCAACAAAGAGAGATCCAAGCCTTACATCAT